TGACAATGAAAACGGCAGCTGAAAGGTTGACTTGTTCAAGCGACGTTGGATGCCAATAGCAGAGTCTTCTTTCGGCTGAGGTGTTGTCGTTTCTTGAAGCGGGTTAGCTGGCAGTTTTTGTGTAGATCTCCAAGGGTCACTTGTCGTGTTAGGCCTGATCTTGTTGAAGATGGGAAAACTAGTATACTTAGGCTGATATCCGTTTTTTTCAGATTCTGACAAAAATTCTGGACAGTTTTCCTTTTGCTACTTGTACCAATTAACACGAGGGTTATTTGTTTAAGGCTTGGGTGGCTCGTCATCTATTACAGGCGAGGTCTTATGATTATAGTTCTGATGAACAGAGTGCGACGTCATAGATGTTTTTTTTTGGCCCAAGACATGGGCAAAAGAAGTATTCTGAGAACTAGATCCTTCTGGAAGATCGTTGAGAGCCAGAGGTTGATTTTCAGTGATAATGTTGTTTTTGTGCTTGAGATATGGGAAGGCTTCTTTGGTTGCTGTGACGTTTGGTACCGTGTAATTACCTGAGGCAATTTTTCGGGCTTCTTCAATCGGTTTATTTTCAGTGCCTGTAATATGTTGCACATATTTTTCAAAAATGATAACTGGGCAGTTTTTGTCCATGGCCAAGTGATCACCATCACAGGAAGGGCATTTAGATGTTGAGCGAGCACATTTGCCCTCATGTCTGGTTTCGCTGCATCGCTTGCAGACAGGGTCCTCTTTACAGAAGTTGGAATGATGTCCTGGGCGGTAACATGAGAAGCAGATCTTTGGAGAAGCAATGTATGCATGTATTTCATGTGCAATGCAGTATAAATAGGCGTATTTAGGCAAGTCCTGCCCAGCAAACGTGACGATGACCGAAGAGGTTGGAATCCTTTTAGGTTGATCACTGCCTTCCTTATAGTGAGGATTTCTCTTGGTCAATCTGTTTACTTGGAGAACCTCTGCGCTGCATTCAAGGTCATCAAGGATGTCTTGATCTTCAACATCCGAATCTACTCCTCTGATTACACCTCTTCTTGAGAGTCTATGGTTTGGAATAAAAATGGTACATGCTTTTTTGGCAATTTCTTGATCGTCAATAAGAGAGTTAGCTTCTTAAAAAGTCTTGAAAAAAACTTCAATTTTTCTTGTGGACTTTGGAATGATATGATCTACCTTGTATTTATTGCTAATAATTTTACTGATTGCATACCTGTGTAGTTTTGGAGTAGGACCTTCGTTAGGTCTTTTGCTACAAATGAGCACACTGTAGGGGCCAGGACTCTTTTCGGTGTAATACTTGGGATTCTTTAGTGTCGTTATATTTGAGTTGATATATTTACCGGATCCTGTTGGAGTTTGACTGGCTTCATTGTTTGCAGTTTGAGAGGATGAAGCTAAAGCGACGAGCTGCATGGCGATACTCTTTTCTTCCTCAGTAGGATTCTTTTTAGAAATTTTATTTCAACATGTGATATTGTCTTCAGTATCAGGCGTTAAGCGCTTATTGCTCACTGCCTTTTCATTTAGATTAAGCTGATCCGTATAATTATCATCGTCCATGGCTTCCGATGCCATCTTTAAAGCCTTTTCTTGTATACGCCTCCCAGAAACCCGGGAGAGCGTAGAAAGTTTTGCTTTTATCTTCTTACTCTTGCAGTAACTTTAGAGGAAATAGGTTAGGGCGCCATGGATCCCCATGGTCCACATGGAAGGATGCAGAGAAAGGGCTCACCAAATTTGCCAGTGTAATCAGAGCCGAATCCACCCACGCACGCTTTTGTTAAAAAATGGTAATTTTTTTGTAATATATACTAGTATTCACAAAAATATTTCCCACAGTCCAGGCACTATATTTTCACAGCTTCAACGGCAACTTCATGTCTTCTATGATACCTATCAACCCAATATACCTATCCATAGTAACAGCTTTCAAAATTTTTTTTTTAATGACTAGGAATTGTTACCGATACCCTTGTTTCAATTGATGTCTACAGAAACGAAGAGTCGTTTTTATCAGTATTTTTGCTCATATTCTCGATCATTTTTGAGATGCAACCGTTGTAAGCTAAAATATTTTATTACTGTTTAATTCACTCATTTAATTATTATTACAATCTAAAACACTGTTTTATTACTAAATATGTTAAGTTATAGTCGACATTATAGTTATTCTCAATCTTGAATGGGCTTATATTGCTACGGTCGCATAGATAAGTATTTGGGAACTATTTGAAAAAAAATTTATACATCCAAAGTTTCAAACTTCCATTTAAATATAATTTTATTCTTTAAAAATGAGAGTACTCAGATTAAGATTGGATATTTAAAATAACTACTGGCGATTTTAACCTGCAATCGAGTGGACGACAAGTATTTATATTTAAAGGGTACTAGTATTTTATTATTTAAGCTAAAATATCTACATTAAACCTGTAACTTTTTAAAATAACCCTTACTGTCTAAGCGAAATGAGACCAACTTTTTCTTGATGCCTGAAATATTTCTTATATCATCATTTTGAGTTTTTTTTTTAATTAGAGGTCTTTTTTCTCCACATTAGCAATACAAAGTAGGATAAAAAAAGGTACTCCTAAGTGCTTTTTTAAAAGAAAGTATGAGTTAGTTTCTTTTTAAGATTTGTTTGAGAAAGTGTTTGAGGCAGCGCGTTTATGAAAATTTTTTTGAGTTCGGGCTTACTTTAACCGAGTCATCATTAGGGCTCATTAGTTCACCCTATATTGCACAAAGGCCTTATTTTCTCTTACATACAGTATTCTTTCCTTTTAAACTGTTGACTCTGCGTTGTAGTGTTAGGTTTCACCGTATGATATGTACGTACAGGACTATAAAGTGGTGCTTGGTGTGTCATACGTCAAACTGACGTTGACCTACTGTATGAATTTCTGTCTATGTAATGCAGTAGTTGCGTATGCCAATTCATTTTTTTATCTCATGTCTTTGTAAAGGTCTTTACCATACGATAGTCTGTTAAATATTTTATATTAAATTTATTGGGCGTAGACTAATTGGTTCCTAAATTTATATTACACTAATAATACTACAGCAGCCTAGCAAACCTAACTTGGTCCAATTATGGGTAATACTGCACAGAGATGAAAGGTGGGGCAACTTTGGTTTTAGGTAGAGAGCCTACTTTAAGTAATGAGTCTAGGAAATCATCGTAAAATAAATAACTATAAATTTTATACGTTGGATTGCACTGTGTACATAAAATTTTTAATATTCAATCATGAGTTGTACTTTGATTTTCTTTATTCAAAATTAAATTTTTTTACTCATACTCGTTAAATGTTGGACAAATTACATTTTCACTATCATTGAGTACTTCGTGAGTGAATAAATTTTTACCGATGACAATGTTTTGCAAAAACGTCAAGAGTCTACTGAGCCTGGAAGTATTTCATCAACTCTCAGGCGTTTTAAGGCATAACTTTCTATTTTTTCTTACTCAATGAAATGGAACAACTCGTTTTTTAAATTATCGCCAATTTATTTGATATTTAATAATTAAGCGCTTTTTGTGGTTAAAGAGAGGACTTGAAAGCGCTCAAAGTGCGCCAAAACGTGATCAGCTGATTAACTATTATTTATACAAGGATCGAAGTTGGCGATTTTTTCAAAGAAACTTTCATTTACAGTCATATTTACGAATAAAAATTGTATTTTGTCATCCAACTGCAGTAAAGTGAGAGGTGTAACCTTTCCCTCTTACTGCAAGCCTCTTGCTCGGCAACCCATTTTTCCCTTAGGGGCCGTTCATATATTACGTCACGCAGCTAGGGGGGAGGGGGGTATTGGTTTAGCGTGATGAAGTGTGACATAGGGGGAGGGGGGGTCTACAGAAAACGTGACGTTTATTTAAAATAACAAAAAATTGGATTTCATCTACCCAACGTGACCTCTACTCCAGTCCAGTGCAACAACTATATACAGCTTTTCGAGTGCAGAAGACGCACAGTCTGCGGCAGATTTTCTACTACTTCATATATATATACATATATGTATACTTTACGCCTATACGTGTACATGCACGCGATGGTAGTGGCAGCAGTAGCCTTTCGAGTCGTCACACTGGTCACTCGTTCGGCAGCTTTAAGTCAAGCCTGAAGCTTGTTTCTGATTTATTGTATATAATAAGTTTAAACGAATTTATCTAAAGCTGTTATTTCAAAATTACTATTATTTAATAAATAATAAAAGTGTTCTGTAAAGATTGAGAATTTAATTTTGAAACTCTTTACCTGTATTATATAAAATCAACTTCTCCACAAGATGACTCAAAAAATAATAACTACTAAAAAAAATATTATAATGTTAATGATACGTGAATAAGACCTGCGTGACAAAGCGTGACAAGAGGGGGGTGGGGGTCCAAAAAGTGACAAAAATAGCGTGACGTAATATATGAACGGCCCCTTAAAAGTCATAACTAAAACTATAATTTCCCGCAAAAATGAACCAGACCTCCATGAACTAAGTGCGGGGCCGTTTTTTGCATTGCAAATTACCATACTGTTTAGTACGTACACGCGACCCATGGGGTTGCCCGGGCCAATTGCTTAGGCAAGTGTTAATCCTGTTATATTGCACAGTTTACAGCGTACCTCTATGAACTAAGTGAATTTGCGGTCGGCTCCTGGACTAAAAAATAAAGCCATTTTCTGGATTGAAATTGCCTTCTTCTCCTGGATGAATTCTGGTGCCAAGTAACTATATACCTAAGAATCATTTATCAGGAGTGTCAGTACCCAACTCGGCTACAGGATTGTAGGTGTCTTTTTTTACAAGTTTTAACTGAAAACTGGCATAACAAGAGATTTGTATTAAAAATAAATTGGCTATTTATCCCCTCTAATGTGCTATAAATCTACTTAAATTTAATCATTAAGCTATACAATTAGTGTAATTACATGATGCTACAGAATACTTTTTTAATTAACAATTAGGTCGATATAGGAAAGCTAACTTAATTTTTAACTTTTCAGCTGACATTCAATCGCTTCAAGATACAACTAAATATTACACTCCTCAAAAGTATTCATCTGGAACTAGTTGCATTCAATCAAGCAAGCAAGATTTATTAAAAGTAAGTTACAACTCTCATTATTATAAATTTTTACACAAACCAGAAAAATCTGGTGCGATTAGCACCCTTATTAGTGCTCTATTTAAAAAGTAGCTTTTTAATTTAAAAATACTATTGACTGATCATTAAATTTTTTCAACTTGCTAGTTGTACATCTACTTCTATATTGCTAAAAAATACTGTCTAACGTACTTATATAAAGTACGCTATATATTATAGAGTCATTACCGTCATTTACCTTACCTCAATATAATTATTGTTTGTACGTTCGCAACAAAATTTCAAAAACTATACTATACTAATTGTTCTCAAACACTGACAGAAAATTATACGCAGAAAAATGTTCTATTTGAATACAAAAAGTATAAAATATTCTAAACAACATTGTATAGAGAGCGAGCGAAGCCACGTCGCGAGATGCTAGTATTTTATATTTTCTTTTTGTCCAAACCAAGGATATTCCACTAAAAATATAATTTTACTCACATTTTGCAAAATCAAAAAATGATTTTAGTGACAATTTACAAATGAAAACATATTTACAGACAGAATTCCCGGAAAGCAGAGGAACATCGGCTGGAGGCCAACAGCATCAAATTAGGGGCCTTTCAGTGTTGGATCTCAAGCGCCGACTGAACTCCGACAACGACGACGATCATCACAGCGACAAACGTTGCTGTATCTACTGCTCGTCTCTCTCGCAAGCACAGTTTGAGCTTCCATGCGGTGCTATGGTGTGCTCCAAGTGCAATGAGATAGAAACACACCAGGATGAATGTAAACAATGTCAAAATCTATTGTGTTAAAATAATACACCTTATAGATTTTAGATTTTATTTTAGCTCTGATGGTGTGATAATGCCAATCACTTACGTTACGGATAAAATAGTGATATAACTTGTCATAGCTTGCTTGGGAACAATCGAATAACTTGAAGATACCTTCTTACTTATGTTTAGTTCAATATTGCAATAAGATGCGGGTACACCATCACAAGATATCTTTTACTATATACTTTGAGTATAATGTAAGACTCTTAGATTTCACGAATTTTTAATAAATTTAGTAAACAGAAAAATAAAATTAAAAAGAGGATTTATTATTTATACAATGCCATCACATATATGTTGTTTAATTAACTCAGTATGCATTATATACAATCGCCTACTTATACATCATTTATGAATAGTTAAGTGTATAAACATACAATAAATACATTAACATGAAAGTAAACTAATAAATGTTATGTATTAAATGAATAACGAAACAATATAAATAAGGTATCATAATGATATACTGATATGAGTGTTATTAAAGTTATGTTTTAGTTAATCACAATTGTATTATCATGTGGTAATTTATGAAAACGGTACTTTTTATAAGACTTTAGAATACTTTATTGGAAAAAAATTACTTAAGAGGAAATAAATCGGCAAAATAACAGACTAACGAGACAGCCAGAGTAAAGAGGCTCCACAAGTAAATAGCACGTATGAGCTATACCTATATATATATAGGGGTTAGTCAGCTCGTAAGAAGTCTCATATAAGACCGTGTACAGCCATGCAAATACCAGCCATAAATTAATAAGGAAATTTTCGAAAGTTGATGAATTCAGGTTGTTTTGTAAAACCATATTCACTATGTGAATCACTGCAAACGGGGTGAGCTCCCGGAGAAATCAGATTTGCTAGGCGCATCTACGGTACGGCCATCATTGTCATTAATTTCCTATGTTAAATCTTATAGAGCAAAATAGTTGAAGCGGCCGCCGTCGACAAAAGTTCATTAAATTCTAATAAGAATATGTGTTAAAATGACAAGTAGCGCCAACTGACAGGCCCATAGCGAATAGCTCTGTGTTTGAAGTAGGCAAAAATCGCAAAATCATTTGACTAAAATCTTGAAGTCAAAGCATAATTTTGACTAATATTATTGGTAAAGGTTGTAGATAACACGAGGGAGCTGACACGGTCATAATTGACAAGAATATATTCAGTGGTTGTGGTTTCATACATGATCATTTGTATAACTGTGAAAACGCCTGCAGGACTTTGGACTGATATGCGCTGCAGGCGGTGGAAATAATGCAACGTGATATTTTATTCTGCTATTGTTGCAGATATTTTCATCAAATATAGTTTTATGGATTCCTTATATCTTTATCTACAACTTTAACGCATGTAACAGATCAAAATGGTGCCAGGTTTGGGGACCTAGGCGAGAGGAGCCAGTCGTACATGGAATTGGGATTTCGATGGTTCGAGAGCTGGCAATACTTCCGCCACCATGGGTACTTTGATCGATCTTCTCATCCCATCCAAACCAATTCACATGGCGAATAGGCTGACGCATTTTTTCCGTTCTATACAGAGGCGGGTCAACTGTCTTCTGAAGTTGAACCTTATAAATGATATTTTTTTTGTATTATATAATCGTGGAGTCTAGATGGTTGGAGTAATGATCAAAGCGTGGCATTGATGTTTTATATAGTTGGGGGAAACTTTAAACTACATTACTTAATGTAGATGATGAATAGTTTTCATAAAGGACTAATCTCTGCCCAATTGTTTCAATTTATGGTAACATGATTAGGGGGTGATGGAAATTTGCAAAGATTATCATCCAATGATGTTTTTAGTCAGAATAACAAAGATGTGCCTCATTCGAAGCATTTCTGGTAAAAATGTTATTTGGTATCATGTAGACGTGGCACATAGTCTTAAATTGAAAATTCTTCGAAATGTATACGAATGTATACTTATATTATTCATCTGATTTTGGGGAGGCGCGCTGCGCTCATTGTGCTGTTTCTACATGTATGGATTTACATACGCAAAGACAGCAATTGATTTGAAAAGAAGGGTGTCATAAAATTCAAAAACCTTGTGAGATTGTCATTTCATACATAAGTATGCAATTAATATATGGATAAAATTACTCATAAATTGAAAGAGCGAGTTTTATTGCCGGTCTTCTGCAAGGATAGATGTCTTATAAATCGAATATCGCATAGGTAGCGAGGCATATGCGCAAATATATGGCTCTGTAAATTTAGAACCGGTGGTTCTAGTCACACGAGTCTAACTCGTGGATAATAGTAATTATTTTAT